ACCCAAAAGTAAATACCCACTTTGTGTGGCTTATTGTGTATTTGGTGTTCTGCCTCATCAGATTTCAGATATGTTGGTAGCCAATACTCAGTGAACCTTCTTACCAAACCAGTAATCTCTAATCTTTATGCAGAAAATCAAAAACAACTTTGAAATACCACTTTATAATTATAAGAGTGGATAAAATAGAAAAGATAGACATTAAGAAGTTAGAAAGAATGTGGTGAGATTGGAACCCTCATAAACTGGAGGAATGTAAATGGCACAGCTACTATTGCAAATAGCTTGGCAGTTTCTCAAAATGTTAAGCACAGAGATTTACATGACCTGGGAATTATACTTCTAGGTACATACTAAAGAGAAATAAAGACACATGTCCATACATAAACCTGTTCACAAATGTTCATACCAGCATTATTCATAATGGAAAAATGAAAATATACAGTAGTGTTTACCAACTGATAATGGATAAAATAAGATATGTGGCAAAATAAAGCAGTGGTATATACTACAGCATAGATGAATTGTGAATATATCATGCTAAGGAAAGAAGCTAGCCACCAGCAAGCCACAGGTTGTATGTTTCTCATAATAAATGGGCAGATAGGCAAATCTGCAGGGAATAGGTTGGATTCTGAGGCACTTCAGGAATAAGAGAATTTGAGGAAATGGGGATGAACTCTAGGGTTTTATTTCTGAGGGGATGTCAATGTCTACAATTAAGTTTTGGTACAAACTACACAACTCTGATTATACTAAAACCCACTGAAGTGTACATTTTGAAGGCATGGACTTTACATTATGTTAATTATACCTTGTTACAGCTTATATTTAAAATAAATTAGTATTTATCTCTTTGGCTTATCAGATTAAGTGAATAACAAGTGTGAAGCTACTAGCAAATTATTTTGCACAAACATTCAACAAGTGAATATCATTCTTGCAATCATCATCATCATTATTTCTAGTCCAGGTGGTCTATCTGTTCAACAGTTTTTATTATCTAAATGAAAACAGGGCTTTTTGATCCTTCCTTTTTCTCCTTTATTTTGTCTAAGCATTATAATGAATTTGTGTGAGTGTGAGGTCATTACAAGAGACACATACTGTCAATTTGGTAGAGATGTAAGTATAACAGATATTGTCTTGAAAAGGTCATGCTTATTGTTAACTAATATTTTGAATCAAGATGATTGGTGGTACAGTACACCAATATTATTTGGTATAGTACTTGATTAATGTAAAAATATTGATATCTTTTTTGGGGGTGGTATTATCAAGAATTCCATAAATTTCTTAGATGTTAGGCACCTTTCTTAGGATGCTTGTGATCCCTCCCCTGATGAGCATCATGTCCTGACTCTACCCTGAAGACTGGGCTTGGTCTTGGTTTGTGGACCACTCCATGTGCCACCACGGTGGTGAGGTGCCCTCTGTTGAGTCTCCTGGTGCTCACTGCCTCTCCTTGTTTAAGTACCTGGGAGAGAATGTACCCTCCCCTGCCCCTCTCATCAGCCATGGTCTCTCTGGGCCCAGGTCTGGCAGGCTCCAGGGACACAGTTCTGAAGCCCACTTACCATTCACATCCTTTTTGTCAACATAAATCTAAAGTAAAATGCTTGTTTTATTAGTTTTGCTTTTCTCCTTTATGATATTTGTTTGCTATAAAGAGAAGAACAACATCAACTAGATTTCAGTGCTCTTCAAACCAGTCATAAGAGGACAACTTAGAAAATGTTCCACATGCAGAATCGGACGACCCAGGGGAAACTTTATATGGCTCTGGAAGGTGTGTGGCCTCACTGTGGTGGCCATGGCACAAGATGCTACACTCTGAGGCAACATGCTTGGAAACTCAGAAGTGATATTTTCATCCTGAAGGTTAAATGGGGAGAGGAGGGAGCACTTCCCACTAGACAGGATCCTGCCTTCATGTGCTTTCCACTGGGCCCTGCCAAACTGTCTGGGTGAAAACAAATAGACCAGCGCCTGGCCACACCCAGGGCCAAATTCCTTAAATAAGGAAGTTCTTGTCTCCAGGGAAAAGCCTATCCACTCAAGGATGGTTTGGAACCAGTTTTCAAGACAGGACAAGAGCTACAGAAGCCTGCTCATGCAGTCAATGGCCTGTGGATTTCACAAGCTCAATCCACCTGCACAGAGCCTAGTATGCCCAGAAAATAGACCTACGGCCCTCGAGGGGACAGGAAGTCCTGCTTCTCACATGCAGTCAGCAAGCAGCATCTCCTGTCCCTTCCTGTGAGCCCCATGGACACCCCAAGGGCAGGCAGCTGTGAACTTCCAGCCCTTGGCTGCCCTGGGGCTGAGGGTGCAGTGCAGCCTTTTCTCTGGGCGCAAACCTGATGCCACAGCATGGACTTGGACGCATGGCAGGCAGCGCACCTCTCCTGGCATCAGGAGCAGCACAAAATGCTCTACTGGTTCCTGGCTCCCACCAGAGAGGGGGTCAATGAATTCCACCTAGAAACTGAAAAAAGTCTCAACTGAGGCTGCAGGTAGCTCAGGGGCAGAGCACCTGCCTAGCCTCCCTCTGCTGCTCCTCCTCCTCATCTTCTCTGAGGTCTGGGTTAGACTTGAACCAGAATCTGAACATCCCCAAATGATAAGAGAGCTCTCATCTCACGGAAAAGACACTCTCTTGTTCTTCACGTGCCACAAGATTTGAAGGTGAGGGGTGGGGCGACCCCCAGCTGGAGAGAAGCAGCAGATTTGACTGCTACTTGAGGGGCCCCTTCAATATTCTTCTCATCTGGCTAAAGTGAGAGGACTTTTAATCCTTCCTTTTTTTTTTTCCTTAAAATGCCATTGGTTTGTCCTATCTCAGGGCAAGTGCCTCTCACTCTAAAGGCCAGCTGAGGTCACATTTGCAATGACCGTCTATGGACAAAATATCAGGCAAGCTGGCGTTCATGTATTTGGAAGATTAATGGTGAAAACATACAAATTTCTATTCCCTAGGTCACACTATCAGATTCCATTGTTTACTGCCCAGAGGAGCCCATTTTTCTGTTCTTTTTCACTTTTTATCTGCACAATTACACTTCTGCTGTTAACTCCCGTCATGTTCAAAGAGAGCCAGAAATCCCAAGCTGCTGCCAGCCAGCTTGATGCATGGGACACCTTCCAGGGCATAACTCAACTACCACGGGAGGGCCCTGCCTCTTGGAGACCCAGGGTCGTCAGTGGGCCTGTGTCCCCGCTGTTAATGGCAAAGACCCACCCAAGCCCTAAAACCAGAGCCAGCGTTGCCGAAATTGGAAAGGCATGTTCCACCTTCCCACACATGGCTGGTCTAAATCTTTGCAAAAGAAAATCACGGAATAGATGTCATAATTTTGTGCAATACATGAAGAGTTTCACTCCATGTTATGATTTGGAAATGAGGTTTCTCAAAAGCTCATGTCTGAGGCAATGAAACACAGTTTAGAGGCAAAATTATTTGGTTCTGAAAGCTTAAACCTAATCAGTAGACTAAGCCATTGATATGGAGTAAGTGCACTGCACCTGTAGGCGGGTAGAGTGTGGCTGGAGGAGGTGGGTCACTGGGGGCATGCTTTGGGGTTTGTATCTTGTCCCAGGTGAGCGGAGTTCTCTCTCTGCTCTCTGGAGGCCACACCCTGAGCTGCTCTCCTCCTCCAGACCCTTTCTCAAGATGTCCTGCCTCACTTTGGGCCCAGAGCTTTGGAGTTGGCTGTCTATATGTTACTAACACCTCTAAAATCATGAGCACCAAATAAACTTCCTCCTCTAAAATTGTTCTTGCCATGTCTTTTGGTCATAGTGATGAAAAAACTGACTAAACCACTCAATTAAGGAAGACTTGCTTTGGGGAGAGGATGAGAAAGAACCAGCAAAATGGTCTTCATGCTCCACAAGAGAGCGAAATCACCCCCACCCCTGAACACCTGCTCCACGCATCCCAAACCAAAAGCCTTTACAAAGGAGAGCAGGAATGAGATCGACTCACATCAGATTCCTCTAAAGAGTAGAAAAAGTATTTTACAGGATTCGGCATTTGCTTATATGTAGCTATTCAAAGAGCGGTTATGGATGTGATTTTGACATCTGATGCCCCCCACCCCATACACACACAAGTCCTTAGGAGCTGTGGGGTCTGGAGTCCTTCTTTCCTGCAGGAAAGGAAGTGGAGGACAGGCTGGGAGCATTTTCCCTAGCTGTGGACGATGTCCAGAAGCCCATGTGCTCAACCTTCTGCTCTGCCAGGGCTGGAAGCGTCCTGACCACGCAGTTTCACTCTGGTCCCGGTCACGTTTTGTTTATCTGTGCCTGAGATTAATTTGTGGCCGACAGTCTAAGTATCTCCTAAGACTTTTTCCCCTAAAACTATGGAAGCATTTTGAGGATAGTAGGAGAGAATTCATCAAGATTTCGGCCTGAGCAGGCCTGAGGGAGGCAGGGAGAGTCCCAGCCGGCACTTGCTCCTCACCCTAGGGTCTCTGCAAAGTGCAGTACAGGAGACAGACAAGCTGAGGGGACGGTCTCAGTCACCTACTCAGGAATTGAAACCTGCACCAGCAGAGGCACCATCTGATGTGGTCAGTGTTGCCCTGGTCTCAAGCTTGTCACCAGCATCAGACTGACAGGAGAACGTTCTTAAAGTCTCAAACACCAACCAACTGACCAAGACAGCCAACCCAACAACTAGAGTCACATGAAGACATTTCCCCTGTTTCCATAATGGACTCTTAAACTAAGTAAAAACCTTCCTACGAAGCTGGTTGACACCAACCTGGCTGCAAGTTCAATACAGACTTTCTAAAAAGCAGAGTTCATCTGCCAGTCGCGAGGGCAATGGTGGGGAGGGGTCTACACAGCTCATTTCAGTTTTACTTGGCAGTTTCCCCCTTCTTTTACAGATGTCTGCCCCATGATGACAGAGGGACATCTCTGGTGGTGCCCCACGTTTTAGCCAGTGCTACCCACATCTCAGTCCTGGCAGCCAGAACCATCACACTCACCAAACCTTGGCAGGTTGAAAGGGCCACGGAGGAGTTTCTGTGGGACCTCAGGTAGCCTTGGTAGAAGCAGAAGTCCTCGGGTGGGAACATCTGCACGGCCCTGGTGCCCCTCTTCCCCAGGGTCTGCACCAAGAATCCCGGAGCTACCAGGTTGCTGGAAGCTTTCAAGTCCACCTGGAAGTCATGCCTGGAACCCTTCAGCCGGAGGTGCAGAGAGTCACCTCCTGGCTGGGCCAGTGCCCTTCGCCGCCGCTGGTGGTGCACGATGTCGTGGGACACGTAGTCACCTCTGCTGTCAACCTCGTAGGCAGACACCAGGTCATACTCTGAAATCAGAAGAGAGGCAGGAAGCTGAGTACCTTCAGGCTTTTGGAAAGAACCATAAAGTCTTAGAATCAAGACTACCTTAGCATTTTCACCAGTAAGAAATGATGGAGGAAAATCCAACACCTTCCCATCCTCAGATCCAAATGCGGGCTAAATAACATCTGTGTTAAAAGGAAAAGTCTTAAAAGTGACTTTTAGGTAAAACACTGCTGCTCTCATAATGCCTTATTACCAATGCAGAACGTTCTATAACATTTAAAAGGGAAAATATATTATGGATCATGTAAGACCAAAATTGGTCTTCTAGAATTATATCTCATAAATTGTGTTGCCAGAGTAACCATCACAAGTAGTCATTTTTGCAGCTCTGAGACATTCTGGATTAATATTGTTTTTATCATTGACCATCTTCAGTGATCTGACAAATTTTATCTTAAAAAAATCATAATTTTTTATAAAATAACTTGCTGCTTAATTATTGAAAAGCAGGAGAAAGTGCAGAGTGCCGACATACTCCAGATCTACCAGGTGCCAGTTCTAAATGCTGGCATGTGCGTCTGCACCCACTGGAGAGCTCATGAACCCTCTATTGGTCTGGCTTCCCCTCCTGTTTCCTTGGGCTCTTGTAATTTGATCGGATCTCACATTCCTCTGCCCCTCAAAGGTCACCGTCATACTCTTCTCCCCATTAAAATTTATACTGTACCCGTTTACACCATATTCAAATTAATTAATTCTTTTTAAAAAGCAGAAGAAATCCCAAAGGTGCTAGCAGGTTTCTGGACAAGCATCCAAGCCTTCAGGACCATGGTCACAGGCACCTCCCAGGCTGCATCTGGGGTCAGGCCCTTTCTGCAGAAGAAAGAGTGGAGCTTGGGGCTCTGAGGGATCCTGGCAGGTCCTGTGACCAACCCATGTGTCTTCTCCAGACGACTCCTCCCTCTCCCGGAAACCAGGACCTGTCCTCTCGTCACCACCATCAACAATACCCTCCAGGGCCCAGGGCAAGGCTGCTTCCCAGAGGGTGGGAGGGAAGGCAGGGCCTCACCCTTGGGGTCAGATCTTGCTGCCCAACATGTTCTCCGCTCAGACCTGGAGTCGACAGCCAAGCAAAGGCCGCTGTGTCAAGGCCGGATCACAAAATATTTTAGTTAGTGATTTGTCAGCTTGTTTTATATCTTTTCATTATTTAACCCATTAAGTCTCAGTCTTCCAATTACAAATTGACACAGGTGCATTAAAATAGTTTGGAATAATTTAGAGCTTCCATTTCCCACCCACTTTAAGGCCCTGTGTCAATTGACATATATTCACATGCTCTAATCACTGTCTATTACTTATCTCAAAAGAATAGACCTCCACAAACATAATGATTATTTCAGAGTTACCATACATGGGACATAAGTTTTCATAGGTGTCCCACATCCCAGATGATGGGGCACAGTGGCTTATGCCTATGGTCCATGTGCCTCCAACTTCTGGTGAGCTCTGGGCCTGCACATTCTAGGAGAGGGCTGGCTTCCTCTCCTGAATTTTTTCTACACACTCACACACTCTAAAATATCAGCAGGGTGTGAGGCCTTCCACCAAATGTGAGATGTCTTTGAAAAGGACACTGGACCCAGCCCCAGAGCAGGCCAAAGGAATCTCGCCAGCATCCAAGTGGACATCCTGTGGACCCACAATGTAGTTCCTCTGGCTTGTTGGACATAACCCCAGTGCTCATATTCTAAGAATGCATATCCCCTCTGTTATCCACATACTCTCTCAGGAAGCTGCTCTGCCAGACGCTTAAGAACCCAGCTCTTCTCTGCGTTGGCCTGAAGATAAAGTAAAACCTCAATCTACTTCTGTCAAGTGGAATTTGTTGTAAGTCAACAATATTCAATAAATCGTTTTTGGAGATGGGGAGAAGATTTTCTTCACAATTAAACTTCAGAGTAGATTGTCCTTCTGCTCCTGCTCAGTCCCGGTAGGTGACTGCGTGGTCACACAGGAGCAGGGCTCTGGGAAAAGGTGTGTGTTGGCTTTGGGGGAGGTGAGGAAGGCTAGGGATGATGGCAGGACGTAGCCGGGGAGCCTGCTGCTGGAGCCCAGGGCAGGCTGAGGGCTCGTGCAAGGCAGGCAGGGGTCAGAGGGCATGGCAAGTCCCCCTCCATGCAATTCTTTTTATTTCAGAGCCAAGCTGAGCTCTGCTGGGCCCCACAGGTCAGTCCCGACCGTGTGGTATGAACGGGCCCTCAGCCTACCTGACTGGGGTGGGGAGGGCCTTGCAGACTGGAGAGGCAGCAAGTTCCCACAGAGGACTTGACAAGTAACCACTGATCTGCAACTAACCACTGAAGAAGGTAACTTGTGTCTGACGGGGTAAAATAGGTTGGCAACACTTGGTATTTTAATTAGGAAAATGAGAAATCATATGAAACTGATGAAAGTGCCCGTCTGGTGGAGAAGGAGAATTGGGGCAGGGGTTGGTGCTTCTGGTGAGATGTGGGAGTCTGTAGTCTGCTCCAGGTGCCACTCAAAGAGGAGGAGCCTTGCTCCTGTGTGGCCTGCATCTGCCCAAAGCACTCTCCTTACAGGGAGACACCCCTCTCACCCCGGGTTCTGGGTTCTAGGAAAGGCTCCTCCTCATAATCTGCTAAGGCCTCTCACCACCTGGCCTCCCAGGGGAAAGCTTTCCATTTGCCCCTGGCCCCTTACCCGTCCTTCGGGGTCAGTGGGGACAGGAAGCACATGGGGTTGCTTCAAAGCACAGCTCATCAGCAAACTCTCTTGCACACAAAAAGGTGACAACCAAATTAAAAAGTCACACTTCTCCCCAGTGACATAAGCCACTTCTTATGACCTTTATTTTGGAGGGTGGATGATATTTACCATTCACTGAGAGGAGGGTGTGATTGGTTGAAGGACCTCTTTCCCTAGGGCACGCAGTGCTGTGCTGAGCAGGGAAGGACAGGCAGCCACCCAGGAGAAAGGCTAACGTGTGGCATCGCCCCATTTCCCTGGCGCAAACACCCTGCACGGCTGGCTTCAGTGACCAACGTGGTATTGCTGGCACGGAATCAGGAAGGGACTGACGGTGGTCCATCACTGTGACGTGTGTCCACCTCACAGACGCCAGGTGCTAACGGCCTCGGAAGCACAGGGGACAGCAGGATGCGGGAAATTAGGAAGGGAGGGGAGCTGCGTATTTAGCTGTTTTGAAACAGGGGCTTCATTTCTCTGTGTTTTTATACTTTTTGATTTTTTAGCAGTCAACTGAATAAACCCCACCATGGCAGCCGCTGCCTCTCCAGAACTGGCATGTGCTGGTGGAGACCCCAGCTCTGCAGCCTGCTTCCATCCCTGTCCCTCCCCAAGAGGGAGGAGAAGGGCCTGCTGGGAGAGCCTCCTCCAGGTTCTGTCCAGTAGTGCTCAGCTGAGGTGACTCCCGCTCCCTTGGGACACATGGCACTGTCTGGAGACTTTTTGGTCATCACAGGGGGAAAGGGAGACTGTTGCTCCTGGACTGGGGCAGGCTGGACCCGGGGCTGTTGCTGAGCATTCTGCAATCATGGGGCAGCCCCCAGAACAGGATGCCACTACAGCCAGGGTTGAAAAGCCTCCCTGTGCTCCAGAGGGCAGCCCTTAGAATCCCATGTGTGCTCTCAGGTAGAGTCTGTGGATGGAAAAGCCAGAGTTCAGAGAATGAACCCACCCAGCAGGGTATCCCCCCCGGCACCCTTGGGAGAGAAGCCAGCTGGGACACCCGTGAGCCGAATGCTGACCCTGACCCTGCACTCCTGCTCTAAGACTGTAATCCCCCAAACAGTGGCTCATATGTCCTTAAAGCACAGTGAGATTCCTGCTGTTTGCAGTCCTTTAAAAAAGACCTTGTCCATGTAAGATGTGTTTAATGAGAAAAAAGTTTGTGGATCCCTGCTCACTCAGTACACTGAACTACATGATTTCAAGGTTTTTTGACCACAGCCTCAAGTCTAGAAGGAGTCAGTGTAGAAAAGACCACTGCGGGTGTGGACCCCCTGGTGAGCCTGGGGGGCCAGCAGGTAGCAGCTCCAGGCACTTTGCTTCCTCCTCTGTGTTCAGTGACATCCTACTGGTGGCTGGGAGTTGGCAGCAATGGGAGTATTTATACCACAAGAATCCAATCAAATGTATGAACTGGTGCCCAAGACCTCCCCCCCAAAAGGGAGGTTGTCAAACATTTACAAGCAGACTGCTGGGCCATCTGGACACTGCCCTGTCTCCTGGCATGTATGTGTCTGAATGTAAACCATTGCAAACTTCAAACAGACACACACAAACATACATCTTTTACATCCGGTTAAAGCAAGTTCTAAAGAACTTCTAAACCTTACTTAGGAAATTAAAAAGTTAGCAATCTGTGATGGGTCTTTGGTTTAACAGAGCCAGGATTTTTATTACAAAGATATATTTGTAGCAAAGAGAATTTAATCTCCCATTAATGAATAAAAAGCAATGTTGAATCAACAACAAAAACAAAAACAAAAAATTGGCATGTTTCTTAAGAGTCTGAAAATGGAATGGATCAAGGACATCCATGGCATGCTCTCTCCACTGGGAGATTGATCGCTCAGACACCCAACAACATTTTGGAATTGTTACTTGGAACAAAAATCAGGGCCCTAGATAGTTATTTCAAAATCAACTTGTATCATGGGTACCTGACATCCTACAGTCAGCTGATCCCAAGGTCACATGAAGTGCATGATAGCTCTGCTACTCCAGACCCAAGCAGGGAGTACTGCTGAGTGGTCTTTCCTCTGGAGGTGTGGACACTGTCCACTGATGCCCACTTTCTCAGTTCAGCCTTTCATAAACAAAGAGCTAAAGCACAAGAGGGTTGGGGAGGTGGGGGCGGGGTGTCTACTAAGACAAAACCTCCCTGATGATGGCTCACACCTGATTCAGGTTCGGACCCAGCCAGGTAAGTGGCTATCATGGGCACACTGTGCTAACGATACCAGCTGACAAGGTGACAAAAAGATGCTTCCCTCCGTGCTCACAGGAAAGGTAGGAAGCCCAAGTCTTAGGCAGGAAGCACAGGCTTTTCTTCCTGAATAGTTCTCTATCTATAATGTTCTTGCTCTAAATAAAACTTCAAAAATGCTATAAAATACTCTAAAATATCCTGAATCCCTCTGGAATTTTCATGATTTTATTCTAAAACAAGTACTTTTTACCAAATCTTAAAAGAAATACATGAAGGTGGACCATTAACTTCTAATATGATCATGTTGTAGAATGCATGGGGAGAGAAGCATTAAAGGAGATAAGGATCACTACAGAAGGGAGCTTTAAACAGACCCAGAGTTAACTTTCCCCTTAAATACAGTGAAAGTGATTTTTAAAAATTTTATATTATTTGTATCTAGCGCCCTCTGGTGGTGCTCAAAGCGGCCCATGATCTAGTATCAATCTCCTTATATACTATGTACAATTCACATATTCATTCAGTAGGAGAGAATTTCAACAGCTAATGCATATATATTTTGTCTTTCTGTTAAACAGGATGAAGAAACTGCATGGAAGAATTTGTAATCATTAACTCTACTTTTCTAGGTTTTCTAAGAACACATTGAAATAATCAAACCTAGTTCTTCCTCTAATAGCCAATGTCATTCCCTGTGGAAAAATGATACAGAGAACTAACATCCAGTCACTGCTGCCGCATGGGGCACAGAGAGAAACCACCTAGAGACCAATGTCACACATCTGCTTTCTCGTTTATCTGAGGAGGTAGCATGACACAGACCCATTCCACTCAGATGCTGCAAAAGCCACTTGTAAGCAGTAGAAGCCAAACCACACACTGTAGAAGGATCGGATTCCCTTCCCTACCAAATCGTGGCACAGAACACAAACATTGCTGATGACATCACAACAAGCTAATTAGCCATTCCACTCACTATGATGTTTCATTTGTGACTCAGTTCTTGAAAAGCATTAACTTTTATACTCAGATCACAAGCACTGTGGGAAAATGTCAGCCTTTTGTCTTACTCTGATAGTTAGATATAGAGGGAGACTTGGGGTGGGGGAGAGGAGGGGAATTGAGAAACTCTGGTAAAGACTTTACATCAATGAGGTGTACATTAACCTATACATTGGTCTAGACCCTGCCTAGGCTCTTCTAATTTTCTAAAAGTAAATTATATTTCCTTGTCTCTTTCTTACTATTAAAACTGGCACACCGTGACTATTATATCAGGAATTTCAATATAAATATCGTGAAAGCCCACTCTTGAGCGCGCACTCAGGCTGTTTGAAGAATGCAGTGAAACGTCTTAAAAGCAGAGTTTAGAGTTAGGAACATTCGCAGCGGTTTATAAACCAGCGGTGGGGTTTTTACGAGCTGCTAAATTGCAAGGATTAGAAGACCCCAATTCTATGACTTACCGCCGGTTTCCATTCCTCCAGGCCGCTCCGGGGGAGGGGGCAGATGCGGGACGCTAGGGCTTCCAGCCGCTGCAGCTGCGGGTTCCATCGCGCACGCAGGTGCCTGCTGGAAAACACCTTGGTGAGACCTCTGGGGTTGCGGGAGAGGAGCCCCGGGAGGGACGTGTCCCCACCTGTCAGGGATGCACGGCTACCGCCTGTGGCAGAAGCCCACCTTACTCACCTGCACGCAGACCTGCGCCAGCAGCAGCACCCAGAGCGTCGCGCAGCCGGGGACCCTCATAGCCCGGTCTCCCCGCGCAAGCTGGCGTTGCGCTCCTGAGTACAGTTCGCAGGCCTTTATCCAGGGGCGCTCGGCCGTGAGGGCGGATCACTGGATGTCCCGCAACCGGGCAGCAGCCAGCTACCAGTGTGCAAGCGTGCAGCGAGGATCCCACTCAGGCTGGGCTCAGGATTCCAGCCGCCACTCCAGCGCCCGCGCCGGGGTTATTACTGCGCCTCCGCGCAGCGCGGGGGGCGGAGTGGCAGCCCCAGTGGCTAGGGCGGCTGAACACCCGCCCGAACCGTGGGAGAGCCTGGGAGGAGGGGAAAGGAGGGGAAGACAGGAGGGGGAGAGAAGAAGAGGAGAGGGCAGAACAGGGTAAGAGGACCCAGCAGACCTGCTGTTGGGTTGCAGGACTCTGCGGTTAGCCTTGGGCGGCCGGCTTCACACACAGGAGGGCTGGACTTGCGCAGCTCAAAGAGCAGGGCACCTGCAGCCAGCAGGATTGCTTTCTGACGCCCTGGCTTTCTCCGCGTCCTGCCTGCACCCTGGGCCCTCCGGAGGGTGCAGAAGATACCCTCTTAACGCCCTGCGGAGGGTATTGCATGAGCACCAAAGGGTGCCCAACCTTACTGGGCGCGCATGGGGCTGGGCACGCACGGGGCTGTGTGTAAGCTCATGTGTGGATCTAGGCTTTGGGAGCTGGGTGATCGGTGATCGAGGAATTTCACTCTTTCACTGCTGGCCTGTTGGATTGTACGGTAGGGTTACTGAGTGCCTGGGGAGCCTATAGGCAGGTCTAGGGGCTGCAGGGAAGTTCTGCCTCAGGTATGGCCAAAGAAACAGCAGTATGCTGCCACCCACCTGGCCTGTGTTCTGCACCCTACATGACATGTGACTGCTTTTGATAGTGCACCACATGTGTACATCATTGCACAATAAGTTCATGCATACGCACGTGCATAAGTACACGAATATGTGTCTGCATCTGTGTGCGTACATGCAAAGGGTATCTCTCTGCTGGCTGCTCTCCCACTCCCACACTTTCCCTAGGTCCTGGGTCTTGGGCTTCTGCTGCTGTAGTTGCAGAGTCCCTCACATTCAGTATGGTCTGACCTTGCTGAATTTGAAATTTTGGAGAAAGGTTGCATGAGAAAATGTGGCAGGTGTGCTCTGCACTTCTCTGCCAGCCTGCGTGGAGCCGGTAGGTGCCCAGGGAGAGCCCACAGTGGACTTCTTGCCGTAGGCAGTCCTGAGTGTCAACCATGCTGGGCAGATCACCTGGCTGGGCCTGAGCTGCTCCTGCGCTCAGGAGCCAGTAGGTGCCCAGGGAGAGCTCACAGTGGACTTCTTGCCTCACCTGGAAGGGTGAGAATGAGCTTGGACAGTGCCTGGATGTCTCCAAAATGTTCTTCAGGTGGAGGCAGAATTTCCCTTTCTCCTAAGTACAGGACTTTGCGTGTTTGGTAAATGGGGTTTCTAATGACCTCCAATTGTGTCCAGTGTAACATAAAAGGGAATCAGACTTTGCGAGTGGAGTTTCCCCATGGAGATGACCAGGGCCTCTCTTTTATAAATTCAAATGGATGAAATGAAAGAAGAATGGTTGAATATAAAATGTTTCACTATTAGGGTCTTTTTTAAAAGACTAAAACCAAAACAGTGATTAATGAGTTTCTTTCCATTGTGAAAAGTTAATGCTGTCCTTTACAATGGTGCGAGTTTCCCATTTCCTCTAGTTGTACACGGAATCCAGTGCTCATCCTAGAATAGGAGAGGGCAGACTCCAGCCTGTGGGTACAGTTGGGAACTGACGTGGGTGACAGATCTTAGAACACTGTGCAGTTACTTAAAGCTGCTTCTCAGGCTCAAAATGCATTCTTCTGTCATATATACCAAATTCAAATAAATAAATAATTAAAAACATTACATAAAAAGGGGGACAGTTGGAAGTGAGTGGCCAGTGTGTGGGTTGTAGCAATAGTGATGGGGGCCAGATAGACCAATTTTTTTTTTGTACCCAGAATTGAGTCCAGAGGCACTTATCCTCAGCCCTTTTAAGTATTTTATTTAGAGACAGGGTTTCACTGAGCTGCTTAGGGCTGTTATTGAGACTGACTCTGAACTCTAGATTCTCTTGCCTCAGCCTCCCAAGGCGCTGGGATTATAGGCATGCACCACTGTGCTGGACTTCAACCTGGCTTTTAAAAGGAAGACAAGGATCCAAATTTGGATGTAGAGTTTTCTTTAATTAAAAACATCCTACAAATATAACTCTAAGGACAAATATTGCAAGGATTCAAGCAGCGATAATCCTTCAGTCTGTGACAGGTTGAGAATTTAGCCCTGAACTTTAAGGTCTAATTTAGAAAAATGATGTTGTTATACTTTGCTTAGAGCCTGAACTGTCTGGCCAACTGCTTTTGCAAGTAGAGTTTCACTGAAACCTGGCTCATTTGTCTACAGATTGTCCATGACTGCTTCACAATGCCAAGGCTCAGGTGTCACAGCAGAGACTGTGTGGCCAACAAAACCCAAAGGACTTACAATCTGGCTCTTTCCACAAAAATGTGGCAGATACTACCTTTTTAGTCCAACAGATGTTAGCAGTTGCCTGTATTCTGACAGCAGGTTCTCCTTCACGAAGTCATTCGAAAAATCAAGGATATGTTTGATAGGGAATAAAAATTAAAGCACAATGAAAAGAAAGTGCTCCCCAAAGTACCTGGCTATGGTGCCTTACCCCATGCCAGTGACCTTTTCAGATCAAAGAAGCAAGTGCCCATCACCATGGGGAAACTTAGGGAACTTCAGATCATAAGGATGGAACTTGGTCACAGCTCTTTTCTAATAGGAGTCAATTTTAAACCAAAGCAATGCAATGGGCAGACGGTACACCAAACATCAAACACTGTTCTCACAACAAACACAGAAGACATGCGGCAGGTTTGTGAGCTGTGAAGGCCGTTCACCCTGTACTCCTGCTCCTGATCCATGATGTGCACAGAGGGGACTAGTCAGGTGTCATACAAACTGGAATTACTTTGGGTGTGGACGCTTAAGGGGAACACTGTCACAAGGACCTGTTGAAAAACTCCTGCCACTCATATTGCTTTCCAAAAGATTAATGTCACTATTTATTACTTTACACAGATTAGAAGAGCACAATTCCAATGAAAAACTTAGTGCCAAATAACTGCAGTCTAAAGTGAATCTTGTCAATTCTTGCTGGGGACAGATGAGAAGTGAGGCCCCAGAGAGGTGTAAGCAGGTCACTTGACCTCACCTGACCCTACCTGATGTGTGGCAGAGTGATACCAGGTCAGGCCCCATGACGCTTTCTCAAGTCATTCCCCAGTCCCCAACCCCAAAAGGATGGCTCATAGGTCCAAAGCAGAAAAAAATGCCCTTTCAATGTAAAAAAAAATAATAATAATAAATAGAAAGTACATGAAGAGCAAGAGCAGGGGATACTGATGTGAGAAGCTACATTCTGAATCTAGATAGAAAATAAGGACGGGGCAACAGGTCTTAGGAATTGTGTGAAAATTGGGACTCACCATGAAGACTGACAGGGGAGCTTCAGAAATGAGGGGACATGGAGGCTCTTTTGGACTGGTTGGCAGGACCTGGCACAGCCCTGGGTCTCCTCAGGATCCCTCATCTAAGTCCTAACTGCACCCGAGGAGCTCAGCTCATCAGTGGCAATGGGATAGCTAGCCTTGGTCCACGGGAATGAACTCGTAATGTCCTAAAGCCTAAGGGGTGTTTCAGCAGCTTGCATGCCAATACTGTTGCTGACCATGCTCTAAAATCTGCATTCCTCCTTCACTCTGAGTCTTCAAAGATGAAAGAAGAAAGGAAAGTTGGAACTAAGGGGAACAGACGATATTAGATTCCTGAATTCAAAATAAGACATTTGTGAGCTTCTTCCTCCATCGTTAAACACAGAATTAAATTATTATTTAATTCAAATAATAATAATTCATTGAGTTATTGTACAAGATTAATTATGGTTTTTTTTTTGCATTTTATGATCATCATTGCAAATTTAACATTGCTTATTTTATGACTTCTGTTGGGATTCCACAGGCCCTCTTACAGTAAGGCGCTTGCTGTCACCCAGACGGCTGGGGAGGGAGACACGCGTGTGTTCTCACAGCCTCTGTTCATAGGAACCAGGGCTCTGGCAAGCCCAGGCCTGCTTCCTTCTGCTGGAGACCGCGGGCGGTTGGTGAAGGCTGGCCTGCCAGTCAGCTGTCAGTTGCCCCACAGAACCTCCCATAGCTGCAGTCGGAGCCTCCGCTTTACATCTGTGGAGCTCCAGGCTGTTGGGCACTGGGAGGTGGAGCGGAGCTGCTGGCCTCAGTGGCCGTGACCAGGCGTGCTGTGGGGTTGGGGGATGGCTGCCTCCTGCTTCCCAGCTCACCTTTCTGCACAGCTGGGTCCCACAGCCTCCTGCCCTACAGGCTGAGCCATTGTCGATGGTGAGTGGATTCAGATGAAGAACAGTACAGGAAGGGCCTGTGGAGCCTGGCCTTGGGCTGTCACACGCCACATTCTACACCAAGCAGGTAACCGGCAGCCCGGGGAAAGCTGTAAGGCTACCTGGCCAGGTAGGGAAAGGGTGAGGGACAGAAATGTGCCGTTTTTGCTATCAGTCTACTTTGGGTGTCAAGCCTCATCCTTTTGTGAATTTTAATGTAAGGAAATGGTGCTGCTGGTCCCCATGTTACCAGTTCAACAGCATGAGACGTGAACTGGAGCAGGTGGTGTTCCTGTGGTGGGCCTTCCAGGGACACCTGCAGTGTGAGCAGGGACAGGTCGAGGTCAGATGTGCATGGAGTTAGGTCAGGACTGTGGTGCCCCCATCAAAGAGGGGGCTTTCTGCTCACCCCCAGTCACACTCTCTAAGGGGTGGCTAAGAACCTTCCCTTCCTCTGTTTGTTGGAAGATAATAGGTTAATCAGGGTATAGGTTAAATCATGCCCCCTACCAAGTTCACACATTGAAGTCCTAGCCCCTGGCACATCACAAGGTGACCTAGTCTGGAGATAAGGTCTTTAAGGAGGGAATCAAGTAAAAATGAGGCAGGCCCTAAGCTAGGATGACAGATGCTCTGATAAAAGCAGAATTTGGGAACAGATATGCATACCAGGAGAAAGCCATGTGAAGTTGAAGGCAGAGACCTTTGTAAGTCAGGGAGCACCAAGGATGACCAGAAAGCACTCAGAGCCAGGAGAGGTCCCAAACAGACTCGTCCTCACAGGCTGACAAGGACCCACCCTAGTAGCACCTTGACCTCAGTCTTGCAGCCTCTAGGACCAGTCTGAGTCAATAGGGTCTCTATTGACCAGGAAAGAATGTTGGGGAAAAACACAAATATTTATCCATAATCATCTTTCCATTCCAAAGCCTGAGGTAGGAGTCTCTATGACTAAATCCGATTGCTGAGGAACACGGAGGCATTCCATTAAG